GTGTGTGTGTGTGTGTGTGTGTGTGTGTGTGTGTGTGTGTGTGTGCATATATTATTTATATGTTTCAGTTTGTATAAAGTATATTAATTCTTTTGCATGTACCTTTTTGTCCAGGCCAGACCTGTGCAAGGCGCAAGGACCCTCTCATCTCTGTTGGTGATATAATCCCATTGAGAACTTATTTACTTTCACATATAAAGTTTTGCATGCTATAGAAATTTATTTCTTTAGTGTATTTCCAAGCTGGGGGGATGGTGTCAGTAAATTGCTTATCTGTCAGACTTACTGTCATTCTGAGAGACAAAATGTCCAATCTGTCAGATCCAGCTGACATGACTGACCAGACTTATTGTACGAAAGCACAAGACACTTTCTTGTTACGTTTCTGAACCCTGTTTTACTGCTTGGTGTTGTGCATCAAATAGGATTCATTTATGTAAAACTTCAAAGTTTTACATAAATGAATTAAAATTATGTTTTAACAATATGGGACAATACTGAACAATAGAATAATACAGCTAAGGTATCTGAGTCACTGTTGGAAATAAAAATTAAATTAAGCACATCTAGGTATATGAATCGAATTAAAAAACAAAAACACAAAAAAAAACAAAAAACAAACTCACAGTTCTTTTATTGTCCTTGAGAAAACAACCGGTGCCGCTGTTAAGGACAAAAAGATAAAATAATACATTTTTTCAGTGGAACTGTTGCAGGAGTTTGCTTCTGCTCACAGTTTTAGGCACCTGCAAGCTTACTTTGTCATTCGTCACAGTTTGAAAGGAACAGGACACCATTTTATCCTAGTTACTTATTAGTACAACAACTGGAATTTAACAGAATGCAAATTTAGTGCATCCACTGTTCTTTTTTTTTTTTTACCCCTTTGCATGACATACAGACATGACAATGGCATGTACGTGATGAGCTCATCAGTCATGACGAAAGACCGTGGTTGTTTCAATTTTTCATGTTGAGTTTGTCATTTATAAATGAGATGACTACGCAGTTTATGTATTAGCCTTAGGATTACATTCACTTAAACACAACTATCTAATGACACCAAATTCTTCCTTACCAAATACCAAATGCTTGCACTTAAAAACAGGCACAAGAAAAGGGAAGCCACATCTTTGCACAGATATTAGCAACAAGAAACAAAAACAAAATTATGTATGTATGTACACACAGATACATTCTCTGTCTTAAAATTAAAAGTTTGCATTTAAGTTTAGGCTATTTAGTATTATTAATAGTAGTAGTATTAGTGTAATGATTGTTGTTAGAATTATAATGAAGTAGTATAATACTTATGTGCATCATACTTTTACATTTTAGGGGGATAGGATCATATTTATAGTTTTAGAATAATGTATTTGGGTACCTGGTGGAGCAACTCAAAATCCCAATGAATAAAATGATTAAAACTGATATTACCATAAAATAAAGTTATTGTTGTTGTATCGTTCATTTCTAATCTCCTTTAAATTTAAATAACTCTTTCCGAAATTGTGTGACCAAAGAAAATAAACA